TTTTTTCCTACCTCGCTGCCCTCCACTTTCCCATTCTGGAGCGCTAGCTTTCGCCCCCCCCTTGGCCTCAAGTCTAGCTGGCCAGGCCTTGTTTGCAAAGCTGCCCATGTTTTGTTTGTTGATCATTGTTTGATATTGTTTCGTTTGTACATCCCACCATTCGGGCAATCTGATATGTTTCCCAAAAGAGGGCGCTGTTTAGCTTCGAGCACTTGTTGCTTCTCTCGAAGATTCACACAAGGCGATAGACAAAGCGAGATAATCCACAAATGACCTATATATGAAAACAGTACACAATATCACCACTTGCAAATCCAGCGTTCAAGTACTTGCAGCGGAACAGCTGAACTTGCCAAGGCGCCAACGAAATCCAAACACCAGGACCAGCGGCAACGCGAAGAAGCCCTCAATGGGCTTAAAAGTGGGAGGTACAAGGCAGTGAAGATTCACCTGCATTAGAATGTGCATAGAGCGGAAATGCATGTACTGCAGTGGGTTGAAAACAGGTTCTATATATCTTCCTTGTGACACATGTTTTGTTGTGCAGGTTCTCATTGCCACAGATGTTGCTGCTCGCGGATTAGACATCAAGGGTGTTGTTTTGAGCTCATTGTAATTGTGCATTAATGAAGTCCTTGAGTAGCAGCCATTGCAAATGTGACTTCCTACGTCGCTTGATGCAGCATGCAGTTAGGGCTTGGTCATCAACTTTGATCCCGCCAATAATACAGAGGCGGCTTGTGGGCTGTGCGATTTGGTTAGGTATTGAAGTGATGTGAATCTGCAATGCAAAGCGGACTCCCTGTGAGGACTACGTCCACCGCATCGGTCGCACTGGCCGGGCTGGAGCGCACTGAGCTCAAGCTTGTGATTCGATAAATGACCCATGTCGAACGAATGTCTCATGTTCAGGTGCCTTCTTGCAAGTCTCTCTAAGGAAGGGCTATGCTATCACCTTCATGACAGGCAGGGTCACAACGCTTTCTGAGCTCAGCAAGGAACCCACGCCCGATAGGTCAGGATGCAGCCAAAGCAAAAGGGATTATTGAGGTGATGGAGCGCACCAAACAGGAGTCAGAATTCTTGTCATGTTCATCGTTGGTTCTTGGAGGCTGACATGCAATGTTCAAAGTGCTTCATGATTTCAAGGAGATCAGTCCAGAACTGATGCGACTGGCAGGCCGGAACAGAATGGAAGGAATCCCAAAATTGGCAGATTGTTCAAGCATGTTTGCCTCATGAACAGCTGCCCTTTGGCTTTTGCGTTATTTCGACTTTTCTTGCTTCCGGGACAAATCAACAGTATGTATGTCTCGCTAGGTGCAGCACCAGCTGGAGGCAAAGCTTCACAAAACATAGTTGAGCTTGCTAGGATGTGGCACTTAACCTGGCACTTTCGTACACTTTGCCTGCAAATGTTGCCTGATCCTTCCTTCCTATATCCTAAAATTCTCAAGGCAGGCAACTGAGACACCGAGGCAAAGGAGGAGCGCCGTGGTGAATGGGAACGGTTTCGCCACTAAAAGCACAAGAAACTGGATAGAAACAGTTACAAAATGTTAAATATAAATATATGTGCTAGATATAGAGCCTGTGACAGTGAGCTTCAGTGAAAGGAGGACGCAATCGGAGCCCGAGCTTCTGACCTTTGCCCAAAATTGAAAAACGAGCTTTTGGAGTTTGAAATAGTTTTAGCGAAATGAAAGCCAGTGCTTCTAGTCGCCGGTTCACTCACTGATGTTGCTTTTGGCTGCAGCAAATCAGGAGGAATATCAACTCAAAGAATCCGTAAAGACTTTGGTTTGTCACTTTGAGCATTAGGTTATTCCAAGTTTCAGGGGATTTCAGGGGTGACACCTTAAGACGCCATGAAGACTGAGATTGATTTTGTCCTCCTGGGTCCAAGCGGCTTCCTTGGCTCTGCGATTCTTCGTTATTTGGAATCCTCCGAGTTTTCGGTACATGCAACGAGAATACGGCTCAAGGACAGGCTTGGTCTTGAGGCCCTTTTGGACGAGATACGTCCAAAGCTTGGCGTCATATGTGCCGCTGGCGAGCGCGGACGGCCCAACATCACTTGGTGTGACTCTCATCCTGTCGAAACTGTTGATGCCAATATCACTGGACAGCTCTCAGTGGCTGCTGCTTGTTATGAACGTGGACTGCATGTGATACTGCTTGGAACAGGCGCTCTTTATGTGAGCTCAGATCGCAAACGGAAGTTCTCCGAGAGCGATCCACCAAACGGTGGCTCTCCAGGGGTGTATACTGCTTTGCGGCAGAAGATGGAGGAGTTGACAGCTTTATTTGACAACACACTTGTCGTTAGAGTGCTCTATCCATTGAGCTCGGATCTTGATGCTCGAGGGCTCCTTGGGAAGCTTGCAACTTGAAAGGAGTTAGAGTACACCTAGCATTGTAACATTGTATATAAATGTATATCATATATAGCACCTTCATCGGGGACCTTGTGTCAACAAGCATGCCTTGGCGACATCAAGTCCTTATGTCACACGTTGATAAGGCGCGCTTCCAGCAAGTAGACAGCGTGGAGACGTCGGTCACTGTGTTGGACGACCTGCTGCCTCTTTTGCCAGTCCTTGCACAGCGGAGAGCTGCTGGAGTTTTCAACTTTGTAAATCCTGGCACCGTGTCCTATCCGGAGATTGTTGCAGCCTCAGCAACTGGCAGGAAGTACTAGAGAGTCTGCCTCAGACATACTACACTTCAGCAGATCGAACTGTGTAGTCCTGCATCCTTCAGTCATGCATCCTTCAGTGGTTGACGGATTTCCACAAGCTGAAACGACCTTCCAAGTGGAGTTGTTTCAAATGCAAGGTGTCACTTCTTTCCGAGAGGATCTCTCCATGTGCAGAATGGACTCCTCCACAGATCCGCGGACTGCTGTGCAATGTTCGTGCTTGAGTGGACTGTTTGACATTTAGACAATCTCACACTGCCTCACCAAGCAATTGCCAGGAGCAGCTGGTGGCAACAAAGCTGCAGCGGAGCTCGACACAGCTCGATTGCAGGACAACCAAGAGACACTTGGAGACACGCATCAGATGTCCATGAATCCCCAGACGAAAATGATCGAGCATGAACAAACAATAACAAACATATCTATGTTTGTTTACCTGATCCTGACAGGATGAGCAGAAGTCAATTAAAATGTGATCCTAGGTTGTTCATTCAACTTCCAGCATCATCCAGCTGCAACATCCAACACCCTGCTCCATTTGCAGGGCATGGATTTGCGTAACCAAATTTTGTTTACTCCGAGGTCGCCAAATCATCACCTCATCTCACCTCTACTCTTGAACACACTAAAATCGAGAGCTGCGATTGAATTCTCTACGAGCCGATATTCCCTGCGCACGTGTGAAGATTGAGAACAATCATAGACTCCAAGAACTAGCTATCCTACCGGTACTTGAGAGCATGTTGAGCGCACTCAAAGATCTCAAAAGAACCTGCGAAACTGTGAGTGCACCAGCCAGAGTCAAAAGCCAATAGTGTTGTCCACAGGGGATGCTTGGAGAATACAACCAATGGGTAGTGACCTCTATAAGTATATAAGTTCAGTCACCTCTTTGTCAAGGAGCTTGGTAATGATGGTAATGCATGTCAATGTAATCTATCCCAATATATAATGCAGATCAGTCTTCATTTGTCCAATTCCTTTGTCACCCTGTGTCATTTGTCATGCACCAAATGGCCTCTCGGAAATTCTTTCGTGGCAGGGCAATCTGAGAACAACACTGCAACACATGGAAGTGCAACATTAATTGCAGTGTGGGATATGCTACCCCAGTCGCCTGTGAAGTGGAGGATACTGTGGGGAAGCCTTTGCCACAGGCGCTGTGCGGCAGATTTAAACGTGTCAACCCAGATCCCGTATGATCCAAGCCTGAACACTTTTTCGCAGCACAATATCAAGAATTGTGTTGCAACACGGCAGTAACAAAGTGCAAGCGGCAGGCTTCCGATTCGGCAAGACGCATCATCGCCGAGTTGAAAGACGAGCAGATCAATTGCTTCAAGCAAAGTTTGCTACCATCACAAAGTTGATAGGAAGCAACAGTGTGATTAGCAACCGATTGATTTTGGCTTGTGGAAAAAAAAAGACACTATATATATTTCATGCATGTATACATATAATTATACACATGGAAATATGCAAAACCTCTTGGGGAAACCTTGTCAGCAACAATCCAAGAATGAGATTTCAGGGTATGCTGTATGGGTCGAATTCCCTGTATCCAAGAGGCTGCAGCATTGCTTGAATATTGCTGTGCTGATTGCCGCACATTCAGAATCGTGCCCTTGTGGTGCAAGTGTAAGTACAATAACTTGTGCAATGCAATTGCTTGGTTCACACATTCTGCAGGCTTGTGGCGTTGCTTTCACACAGATCTGAATCCAAATTGACGCATCTTCAGTGTTTTGCAAAACCATCTATGTAGAAAAGGACTCGCAGACCTTCGCATGCCATGGCGGGCAAAGTGTATGCTGAAGAAAGTGTTGTCGGGCCTGTCGACAACCTAGCAACTGAGGGCACAGTAGCTGATGAGAGCGGTGCGAGTCTCAGTCATGCAACCAACCAACCAACCAACCACGGTGCCGGGAACTCGCAGTAATAAAGGGCATCGCTACTAGGAGCAAGGACGCTACTAGTAGCTCCTGGCCGTACTATCAGTAACAAGAAGGTACTACTAGGCAAAATTGTTCAACTAAGAAAGATAACATGATGAGATGGTGATGAAGATCTCTGAGGACTTCGTGTGCGTGCTGCTCCTTCTCACACTAGTGGGCCATCGCCGCCTTTGACTCCATCGACTTTTCCACGTCCCTTGGAATGACATGCATATGAAATAATATGAAATAGGTACGAGGTACCAGGTGTGACTAGCTGTTGGGATATGTCACGAATTGTAACTATATGATGTTACATGACCGATAGGCAGAGGCAGATGGTGAGTAGTGAAAGTGGCGAGGAAGACTGTAAACCGCTCGGTTCCTGAGTTCGCTTGAGGTCCAAGTGTGGAAAAGGGGAATCGAGTCCTGAAGCACTTGACCACGAAGATCGCAAAACGTGAAGTCTTGGGGTATAGTCAATTGAAACTTCAGGAGTCGGCCTATGACAATGCTTATTTGCTGCCGCTCATATCATCACGCTTCTTTGGACGATCCTTTTTCCTTTTGGTGGTGAACTTCATCCTGCAATATTGCATTGCCTTCTTGCTCTACAGGAGGACAACTCTGACAAACCAGCTTCTCACAGAGAAGTTGTTTGGTCTTACGGGACCCGGGGCAGGTCGGGCTGGAGTTTGTTGGTATCCGGAGCAACATAATAGAAAGGTGATTATGTGTACGCCTGATGAAGTGTTTTTTTGCCGCAGACTTCACACGCTTGGACCTGACAAGCGATGGCATATGGACGTTTGAGGAAGCTTTGGTGCTGGACAATGCCCATGCACGTAGCAACAACAGAAGAGTGAATATGACACAGGTCTACAAGAACTTGATTTATCAGATCAGGTCTTACGCTGGACCTCGGGTCGTTGGGTGTGACATTCTCGATGAAATTGAAGCCTTTGACCAAAACCTCGGCTTTTGGAAAACGGCTTGGATCTGGAATGTCACAAGTAGCGAGAATGTTGTGGTGACCTATTCCAATCCACCAACAAGTGCATCGAAAGCTTACATTCACAAACGGTACACGAGAAAGAAACTTGATGATATCATTTATGCCTGCAGCATTCCAAAGTGTGTTGACATGGACAACGGTGCTACTGATAGAACGGAAGCCACCTGCGCGGAATACAATGGTTATGATGCTTGTGGGGGTAGCTGGGATGACGAGGATTTTAACGTGACGGAATTGTGCTGCACGTGTGGTGGCGGCTCTCGGAGTCAACAGTTGACAGGCTTTGGCCACCTCCCTGTTTCTTTGCCTTTGGAAGATGTCAGCAACCTACAAGCCTTTCGGCTTTGCATGCAAAAGGCAAATCTTCCACTGCAGCAAGACCAATGCATCATCAACTTCACAGCCATACCACGGGACATTTATGTGTCCCAAGTTCAGCCGTACACAAAGTACTGTTACTTGCCAGACATAGACACCTGCAGCAACCTGAAGGCAGACAATGCGTTGCCTGAATTCAACATCAACATATCCTCGTCAGTCCCTCTTTTCTTCAAAATGGCTTCCATCACCACAACTACAGATTTGCTGCCTGAAAATATTTGCCGCAAGGCTGTGAGCCTTTTTTGCCCCGAGTTGATGACCCTCCAAACATCACTTTTCCTGGAGGAGCGTACTGAGGTTTGTGGGAAAAAGACCCGCCAAATCCAAGACGACTCCGTGATCGTGTCCTACGAAGCCAGCCGAGTGTATGAGGATCAGAGCTTTGGCTTGACATCGCCCATTTTCCAAGGCTTCCTATTTTTGATCGTCTTCCTTTGGGGTTTGGCATCCGTAGCAGAGTTTCGGAGCATTTTGGTTTGGTGGAACGTTCTTTTGGCACAGCCTTCGTGCAGTGTTGAAGAGTGCCTCCATGAGAAATGGGAGGACGATGAAGTCATGTCTTTGGACATTATGGGCATACCTCGGAAGTTCAGAGTACTATCAATTCTCTTGAACCTCTTGCCTCGCAGCATCTTGCAATGCCTGATTTTCTTTGTTGGAATTCAATATTTGCTGTCTGTTCGGAACATCTCTGATTTGATCTTGAACAGCTTAGCTCTGACCTTCTTGGTGACCGTCGACGAGATGCTTTTTGCGGCCTTTGCCGGTGAACAAAACGCTGCGTGGGTCCAAGAGACCAAGCCCGTGCCGGGCCGATCCTTCAAATGTGTCGACTGGGTGCTGGCAGCGACACACATCCCTTTGGGCATGTTCATGTTCTTCCCGATTTTGATTTGGCTCTCATACTACTTGGTTCAAAACAAGCTTGCGACCGATGAATTGGCTGATGCAACATATTGCCTTTGTGATTTGAGAGGCCGGGCGTGCTTCGCCCCCAGTGCTTTGTAGGGCCGAAGGACTGAAAGGACAGAAGTCTCACCCAATTCGTGTGTCCATTTGTTTCCGATGAACACCTGTGGAAACATATGGATATGTTGTTCTTTGGAATCTTCTTTGAAATCTCAAGGATGAAATGCTGCTCATTAGTAACGTAATCATTTCCATAAGGAAATGATATGCGACAAAGAAACGAGGACAAAAACTACCTGTAAACTGTGGCTACTGGCGGTTCATCAGCAAGATTAACGGCGCCGACTTGCTGATAGTGGGTCGCAATGCTTTGGTAGTTGCTATCTAGTTGTTTATTGTCGAATGTCGGTTGCCCTTGACGCACCTTGACGAATGTACAAGCTGGTTCAACATAGTAGTATGTTTTTGCTGCCCTTTGGAAAGCAGTTGCCACATAAAAAATCATGGGATTGCCAATCAGGTCTGGCATTGCTCAAGTTTGCTCGGCATGTGATGGACTATGCAAGCTATTCAAGACGTGGTTTGAAAGTGATGTGTTGCTGCATGTTTATTGACTCCGGCAGAAAAATAGCCTGAACAAGTGCAAGCTTGGCATGAATTAGGTCTAGATTCCAGTCTAGATCCAAAACTCTTCATGCTTGCCGCGATGCCACAGATCCACAACATGGAGAACTCTAATCAGGTGGATATTCGATTGCACAATCTCAGCCAGAAGGAAAGAACAGAGCGGCTTCCTCCATTTGGAAAATGTTTGAGCTTCTTAGCGCACCTTCCGGTGCTCAAGTTGCTCCTGGTACCGTTTTATGTGAACCCAGAAGATTTTGCAAACATCCATGATCGTCAACGCCTCGGCCTTGAATCGGATCATTGGTCATTGGAAGGAAAATCTGAGTGATGCCACCCCGGCAGATTCTGCTGAATTCCGAAGACTACTTGGGGATTACGGCAGGATTCATTGCCATCAATGCCTTCAGTTTAAATGTATTTCTGTTGCTCATTGTGGTGCTTGCCAATCCTAGTAGAAACAGGTCTGGAAGCGCGTACGCTTTGGGGTACTGATGCTCTTTCTCCTGATTGGCACTGAAGACTTGGATGTTTTTGGTGGCCCGGGAGGTATCATCTATGGCATTGCAGTGTGCATAGTGATTGCTAGTTGGGGCCTGGTCAATGAGGCGTTGTTCAACATTGGAGAAGAGTATGAGAAGGACCGTTGCAAGAAAGACAACTTGAAATGCCCCTTCATTTTCTCATTGAAAAAGCTTCCAGCAACACAGACCAAGCTGGCCTTGGAGGGCATGACCTTTCAGCAACTAAAGCCCTACAAGGATGATCGCATGATGCTGTATAAAAATATTCTCTCTTCTGGTTTGCCGGCTGCAGACTGTTTGGACGTCATGTCTGCCCTTGAAAAGTACGTCAAAAACGAACTCTGAGCCGACCACCGGATGTCGTGGCCTTGGTGGGGTGGCTTCAAGCATCAATGTGCATTAGAGTTATTATCTTGATTTATATTGCAGGTCATTCTTTCATATTTATCGTTTTCTTCCCGATCTTGATTTGCCTTTCATACTACTTGGACCAGAATAATCTTGAAATCGACGGATTGACGGATTGATGAATGTATTATATCGCCTTTGCGATTTGCGAAACTAATGCTCCTTGATTTAAAATATTTGAAATGATAAAGATTTAATATATATTGAATATTATTGGATTATAATGGATTATGTTTTTTATTTTATTTTTACAATTATACATATTTATAAATATCATATTTATAATAAGAATTTTATAATCGTTTACGAGGGCCGGATATTATATATGTTTCCGATAGATTTATTATCTTTTTGGTATAATTTCTAGGATATATGTATTTATAATCGCATTATGTTTAAAGATTTGGGAAATTCGGTTTTAATTCCGGGGGGAGGGCTTGAATCCGTATATATTAATGTTTTTTGTATAAGGATTCGAGTTTGGCGTGAGGCTTGATATTTTTTTCGCGAATTGGTAGAAATATAATATTATGGTTGATATTTTAATTTTCTAAAAAATTAGTGAAATTTTGGCGATGTTTGGTTAGGATTATGAGTCGTATTTAATATATAGAAAGGTTATTTTGTATTTCCGTTCTTTTTTAGAGATTGTTGTAATTTTGGTTTAGTGAATATATTTTTAATACATAGTAGAATTTTGGAATTGTCTTCGAAATTAATATTTTAATGATTATATTTGGGGATTGGAATCTAAAGGCTGACAAATTTGATTTATTAATTTTATTGAAGACCGTGGTATTTTATTTGCACTTTTGCTTTTTCGCATGCTGGAAGAAAAGAAGTGATTTGTAAGGTTTGATTTAACATGTGGTATTGCTAGGATATATATACGAATATTTGTATATATGTTTATGCATGTATAGTGTTGCAAATCGAAAGATTTCTTGTATTTGCTTTGACGCGAAACGCCCCGTGGATTTCTTTTGCTTTGAGGTCCACATATCGATCTTCAATAATAACGTAGGCAGGGATATTAATTGGTTTCGAAGAAGATCTGGATAGCGGCCAC